GGATCTGAAATAAGTAGTTGATTTACAAACTTGGACCACAAACTTTGCAATATAGGCCTATGTAAAGAGAAGGTCATCACCTGAAAGTAATAAAAACAGCTTATGTGGTTTATGGGATAGGGTGAGATGTGCCCTATGCTGCATGCATATTATTAATTATAAGTACTTTGACTTTGGTATAAAATATTTAAAAATTCAAAAAATTACCAAAGTAATATAGTGTAATAGAGAAAACTTTAAATAAAAAAAAAGAAACCAATATTAACTTGCTCTTAATTGTAGTTTCTGAGCTATGAATTTTCAAAGTACAACTTCATTTGTCCTTCTTCATAATCATATAACTCTTGCTTTAATGATAATTTTGTAAGATTTTTTTTTCAGAATTAATGCTTATCAAAAAGTTATTTTAATAATGTTATTAGGTACCACGGAACCTATCGCGCACACCGCCTGGGCATGTAAAAAAATCATGCAAAAACTTTAGTGGCCATTTTGCAATCGCTTAATCTGTGACCTCGGATTTAAGAGTTTACCTCACAGTTTTCTAATTATAAATTCATCTTTTTTAATTGAAAACATAAAATATTTGTCTTACGGTGAAGCACATACAATTTTTCCAAATTTTTTTGCTGTCACTTTGACCATTCGGTAAGCTGAAAATACTTAAATACTCCTTTTTTAGTGATTGTATCACATTGGAAATTAAATAATGGTTTTAGCATCTATATTGGATGGGGAATAACTTAGAAATGATAAATTTCCCTTTTTCCCTTTGATGTTAGCCCTTTCAGATTGTTATCACTCCACCATCAACAGAGGGAATAAATAAATTTTGCCATTTTTAGTATTTATACCAGGAACGGATTGGCTCTGGATAACAATCAATTTAATTTGTGTTAAACTTTCTATAATCTTTAAATATACGTATAAATCTAAGTAAATTGTTATTTTAGAATCCAGAAATTGAAAATATACACACAATTTAATTTAAGCTTACTTCCACCTACTATTTCTAGACCTACAACTACAATTTTTCTATAATTTCAAGGCCTAGCCTAGGAATTCTAGCTACTTATGACTAAGTTAACTCTAACTATGATAAACTAATACTATTCAGACTATTCAATTACTGGTACGACAACTGTACTTACAGGCCTAATTTAAATTAGTATTTTTAAATTTAGTAAGGTATTTAATTATACATTTTAATTAATTGTTAATGTAATTTTTAAAAAAGAAATAGATTTTAATAAATACAAAACTTGAATAAAAGTAAAAAGAAATAAGAAATTGTGGAGATTGACTGAATCATTCAGGATTATGATTTAATATGATTAGATGTTATATGAAGGCTTATTTAAAATTATAATTTTTCTATTGAAGAATTTAGAATTCCTTCCATAGACAATGGGCACATTTGGACGTAGATGGCGATAACAAAGTTTATGAAGGAGAGATTGTGGGATCAACAAGACCAAGAAGTCTGTAGAGCAGTCTTCCCAGAAAATGACAGTGGCAGGCACAACATCCTCATTACCTTATGAAATTTAAGCACATACCTCTACCAGTATGCTCGTATTAGTCTTATGGGTGATTTAAATACCGGTAATTTTTATTTATGCTGGTATTTTTTAATTTCATGCATTCAATTTCATTAAAAAGAAGAATTCTACTTACCTTTTATAAATTAAGAATTGATTTAAAATTTAACTGAAGTATGTTATTTTTTTGTTTTTTTCTAGTCATGACTTTTTTAAAAACAAAACCCTCAAATAAAATTATCCAAAATAAAAAGTCTTGATTTAATGTATACCGTTTATGGTTCTTTGTGTTTTACATTTAGATTGTGAATGTCTTCTGAAAATTTGGTGCAGTTACCTTTAAAAAAATTAAAATTGTTTAGGCAAAATAGTGCAGAAATTCAAGTAACAAGTTTTTTGGGAAAATATGTAGATTATTAAATAGGCTTTAAAAAATTCAAGAAAATAAATCATAGATCCACATCTATCTTACTTAGACTACATTGATGTTTTTGGGAAGCTTATAGCAAGCTAACCCTTTAATATTATAAATATTTTATGTCAATCAGCGTACTAAAAAAAAATTGTCATTATAAATGCTTATCAATTATAAATTTCATGGAGAACGTAGCAACTTTATTGTATCACTCTAAAATACGCTGCAAGAAGTTTCAATGACCTGAGATCACTCCCTTCCCATGAGTATCACTGAACCACAGCTATGTAAATAACACACAAACCCTTACTCTCTCAGGTATACAGATTGAGTTTGCTCAAAAAGTGCGAAACCTGGGTGTCTACTTAGACAGAACACTAACTATGGAAAATCACATTAACATTCTTTGCAAGGCGATTTTTCTAGAGCTGCGCAGAATTAGTCATATCAGACTTTTCTTAACGTTCGATGCATCAAAGAGGCTGATATCTGTATTCTTGCTATCACGCATGGACTACTGCAATGCTCTTATGGTGGGTCTTCCAGCTATGCTCCTGGATAAAATTAAAAAAGCACAGAATAATGCGGCTCGCATTGTTCTTCGAAAACGCAAATTCGACCATGCTTAAACACTTCTGAGAGAGTTGCATTGGCTGCCGGTCCGCGCTCGCATAGAGTGCAAAATTGCAACTCTGTGCTACCGCTGCTTGCACGACCTGGCACCGTCCTATCTCTTACGAGGGGCGCACTTTCGCATTTGCTGGCGCAACAATTTGGAACACCCTTCATGTCGCTCTCAGAAACAGCCAGACACTGGAGTCTTTCAAAACTGATTTAAAGACTTATCTATTTCGCAAACACCTGCTGGGGTGATGTTGTCTATCTAGCTATTATCTTGGCCTGTGTTGTTTATGGTTGCAAGGTATGAAAGACTTGGAATGGGTATTCTCGTATGTAGTTTTTGTAATGTTGCATCTTGTACTTCAATGTGGTATATACCGTGCTTCGAGCCTTTGGGGATGAAGCGTGATTTTCAAATAATCTTTATTATTATTTTCCATGATGCTAGTTACACACTGTGTTTGCATTTGGAAAGTGTTAACCGTTTTTCACGTCTATAAGAGACTTTAAATTGTTAATCTCATAAAAATACACACCCACTTTACTTTTCGAAAAGAAAGAACAAAAATATATTTTCATTTTTTTTTAAAAGAAAATATTAAACCATCTCAATTTTTCAAAATTTAATTTTCAAGTGTGTAAAATGATTTGGTTTTGATATTCATGGGTATACTGATATAAATGTACCCACGTTTTGTTAACGCCGTTGATTTTCTTAATTGGTAAACATATGTATATAAATATTTGCACTTCATATGTTTTTTTTCTTATTTGGATGAGTTATAAGTGGATTAGTGGATTACTAAATGCTATTTGGCTATGGAGTTTCGCTGCATTAATTGACTTAAACGGCATTTTCTTATTAAAAGTATATTTAAAGGTTCAGTTTTTATTATGTTATAAATTTAATAAAAGTATATTTTTGGAATAAAAAAAAGTTAAACTTATAACTTATTAAATTTTAAAAAAATACATAGCAAAAATTTTGTGTCTTTTATTAAGAATTTAAAAAGCAATCAATTACGTTTATTAATTTTACTTTTAAGAAGGGGAAAATACATTTCTCAGTTTTGTAAGGAGCGTTTATTAAATCAAAGAAACTTAAGAGTTTCTACTAAAGTAGACTATTCGCCCTAGGATGTCATTTGGTGTTTATTTAGAACACATACATTTTATTTGCAATATTAACAACGCACTAAAAAACACATGCAACTAAAAAATGCACTAAAAACAACCGATGTTTGGGTTTTCCCTATAAATGTGATTACAGACAGTGTCATTCTTCGATCATGATTTTTAAATTTTATTTTTGTTCTCTTAACTTTCAGCATTAAGATAGTTCCTTAGTTGTTACTTTAAATGTATTTGTAATTTATAATAATAATACTTAAACTTTTACTACAGTAAAAGGGGATCTATAAAATTGTTTGCGCATTTAAATTTATTCGATTTCCGAAAAATAATAGAAAATAACTATGATCGTTTTTAAGACCTGAATGTATTTAAATCTTTTGGGTTCTTTGGAATTACTGTCAGCCTAGCTCATTCTTATATTATATAAGTTATTTTATAAGTTTATTGTAAAATTCATATTACAGAAAGATAACTTCATGGATTTATTGATGCTATTTTCATGGTTTATGGTATGATTAGATCACTCAACTCAGTTAATTGACGATTTAATATAATGAAAGTGTAGCAAATTGAAAAACAACAAGATGCATTTTTCTAACACTAAGATTTTTATCTCTTAAAGACATAGTGGGACAAATTGCCTGGTACACTGTTTGACTTAAAATTTTCTCAGCCCTTTTATTAATGAATTTTTTCCTATTGATGTACAGAGGATAAAGATAACTAGACACATGAAACATAAATTATATTCAATAGTTTGTCACAACCAAAGCCATGGACTAATTTTTGTAACATTTGATTTCATTTCAGTAACACAACCCTCTTCTATTTGATGTTTCAAAAGTCAATAAAGCATGGAATTTGAATATTCACAAATTTAATATGGTGCTAATATGAAATCATGTAACTGCCTGGAATGACTGAAAAAGATGGAAAAGAAAATGAACCCTTTTGTAATTGACGTCTACCATGGGCAAGAGTCCCTACAGAGAACTCAACTTCAACACAAATCATTCACTGTGTTGAACCGAGAGTGATGGATGGCAAAACTGGGCCACTGAACCATGGCAGTTCAATCCTGTCGGATCACTGCTGTGATATGACAGCACCGTCTGTGAATGCAGACCACCAAAGTTTTTATGAGATTCCACCCCAGGAGAGTTTCCCTACTCCTGCTGAGAGGCAAAGTCCTCTAAACTACGGCCATGATAATTCATATGTTGTGCAAAACAATATCAAAAGAACTGATGACTCTGGTCACTTCTATCAGAGTTCGTACCAGGATGTATCCTACTCTCATCAAACTGGTCTCACAGAGGTCGCACTGACGAATGCAGGTAAATCCTCATCTCCTCTTAAAGTGCCTCAACATGAAGATGGAAGTATCGTGGCTCGTGTAAATAAAACAAATGATATCATCACAGGGCAGCTTGTTGACACTCCTTTGTCAAGTGACAGCAAAACTCGAAGTGATGACGACACGCTAAATAGGTTTACCTTAGTTAATGAAATGAAGACAGCGCCTGACCAGTTAGTATCAAAGCATCAACGAAGTGACTTTGTGCATGTACAGTTTAATTCTATGCACCAGGAGGATGGCAAGGAAGAGAGTGATGATGACTACTCGGACATTGATGACAATGAAGATGACATGCAGAGAGACATATCCAAAATCCATCCTGTTTCAAGTGACCCATCTACCTCCAATAACTCAACCCTACCCCAGCCAAGCAATTCTCTGCAAACAACTCCAAAACCCTCAGCTTCAAAGAAATCCATGTTGTCTCTGACCCAGCAAAAAGAGGCCTTGCTCAGCCTTCTGAAACGTCAGAACGGGACCAGCGGCTCTCAAACCTCAGATCCTCTGGGCAGCCAGTGTAAAATTCTAACAAAGTACGTCTTCATCAACAAATCCAGTCAGTGTAAGTCAGGGAAAAAAAGATTTGGTGTCCTTTACAAAAATGCATTCAGACATTTCCACAGATCAAAGCCAATATTGAAATCTCATGAAAAGCACGGTCCAAAAACCAACGGCGCATCACACAAAGGTGTCATTAAAAGACACAGAGTTGTAGCAACAAAAGAGAAGCCAGTCCCAGGCAGAAGTAAAACAGTAGATGAAACAGATAGACAGACTCGAAGTACAAAGGAGACCCCAACATCAAAGTCATCCTCCAAGGCAGAGGAAAAAGCCGAGAGCAAGTTTCAAGATATGAAAAGAAAGATTTTGAAAGAGAAAAGATTGGGTGTCTCTAGTGAGAGAAAAGAACCCATCAAAAGGCGAATCCTCAGCCTTGAGCAAAAGGTAGCCATCATTAAGGCTATGGAGGATTCCGACAGCTCTCTTGTTTCTATAGGGGAGGAGTTTGGGGTTTCGAGGACTGTGCTGTGGAGGATTCTAAAAAAGCGTGAAGAGATTTTAAAAAGACACACGGCCGGGGAAACATCTCAGCGCAAGAAAAGGAAAGAATCGAGCGATGTTGAGATCAAGCAGGAGAAAACTGACTCTGAGGGGGACTCTGCCGGTGGGTGCAACGAAGAAGATGACTGGTTCAAATCTCACATGCCTGGCGTCAGGAGGAAATCCAACTTTCGAAACAGGAAAGATCTGACTTTGGAGGAGAAGGTGAGAGTGATCAAAGCCCTGGAGGCTCCAGGCACAAAGATCAATGCAATGGCCAAAAAGTTTGGAGTTTCTGTGTCTTCAATTAGTCGCATCAATAAAAACAAGGACTTCATTATGTTGAAGTCTTCTAGTGGGGATTTGAGCAGCAAGTCCAAGAGGTCAAGGGAATGCAAAGACCCTGAGCTCGACCGGGTGTTACTCAAGTGGTATCGGGCCATTGAGAAAACGCAGGGTGAGAAAAAAATATCAATCTCCAACGTTCTCCTAAAGCAGAAGGCGCATGATCTCGCCATCATCATGGGCAAGAATTATTTCCCGTCCGATAATTGGATTATTCGATGGAAGCACAGACACAACCTGGACTTCAAGACCAATATGATACAGGACAGGTCGGAGCTGAAGCGCCTGGATACGGTCAACATTGCTGATATCATGGAGGAGGTCGGAAAACACCAGGTGTTCCTGGACCAGATAAAAAGAGAGAGTGAACTCAGGCATGGGGAGAAGCCTGAGCAGTTTTTCATATGTGAACACTGTGGGGTTCTCACCAGCAACAAGAAGAAGAGGGAGAACCACCATCTACCCGGGTGCCCGGCCTCGGCCATTAGGAAAGATTTAACATTGGAAGAAAAAGTTCAAGTGGTTCGTGCCCTCGAGGAGCCTGGTGTGAAGATGATCCATCTCGCAAAGCGGTACGGTGTCTCTGCATCAGCCATCAGCCGTATAGCCAAAAATCGGGTGGATATTCTAGCCAGAAAGGCGAGTGGTTTGTCCAACGGCCAGCGGAAAAGAGACAGAGGCAGCAAGGAGCCAGAAGTGGAGAAAGTTCTCTGTGAATGGTTTAAAGTTCAACATGAAATGGGTATACACATCTCAGGGTCTATGATACGGGAAAAGGCCAGGGACATCGCAAGGGTTATGGGAAAAGATTTCTGGCCCTCGGAGAGTTGGGTGTTTCGTTGGAGGCAGAGGAATAATGTGTCTGATATGAATGCTATCCTGTATGCAGATTCTGATGAAGACGAGGACAGCACTTCGGCTGAAGGGAATCTGGACAAGGTGGAGAATGAGGACAGCAGCACTTTCCACAACCCAGGAGATGATGGTATTTCTGATATCAAGGTCAGTTTCGGGGAAGAGATCTCCGCGGAAGGAATAGCAAGCGAAGATGCTCATCAAAGGAAGAAGAAAAAGAAACCAGAAGGAGCAGGGGCCTGTGAGAAAAAACCCAGGGTGCCACGCTCAGTCATGTGTGAAAAGTGTGGGTTCGTATCCAGCAGAGTTAAAAACAGCAGGGTGAAAAGTCTTCGTCACGCCAAGGGTTGCCCAGACATGAAACCAAGGCATGAGCTGACGTACGAGACCAGGGCTCAAATGTTGAAGGCGCTGGAAGCGCCTGGAGCAACCCTCAGCTCAGTCGCCAGGCTCTTCGGAGTCTCTGTGTCCTCCATGTCCAGGATAAATGCCAACAAGGAACGGATCTTAAACCACTGTCTTGACCACAGCGGGCAGAAGAGGATTCGCTTCTGCAAAGAGCCTGAGGTTGCCCACAACCTGTACACGTGGTACATGGAGAAGAAGGCAGAGGGTGTGCACATAACTGGACCTAAGCTCAAAGAGAAGGCCAGGAAGATGGCAGCCGAGATGGGGAGGGACTTCAAGGCTTCCAGCGGTTGGCTGGGCCGCTGGCGGCACAGGTACAACATTGTCTGTACTGCTAAAAATCCTGACAAAGTCAACAGGGGTCCGTTGAAAAAGAAGAGGTCCAGAAAAAGCACACCCCAGCGGACAGACAATATGGACCACTTGGTCCACCTTCAACCCATGCAAGCAGATATGCACCAGGACAGTTTAGGAAGCTCCACCAGTATTGTTGTAGAGCAAAACGAACAACAGCAGCAACCTCCACCACAACCCCATCAACATTCACAGGCTCCTGTATTCCTTCATCAACGGTTCTCAACCCCTTGGGAAATGGCTCAGCAGCAAGCAGGGTCCTGCGTTTGGGCTAAGGAGTTTCTGAGCCCGTCTGGGGTCACTGGTCAGGATGAAAATGGAATCCCGGTTTCCTATGCTTACAACGATGGAATTCCCAAACCTGTGTTCCACAACATGTTTGACTCCTTCACCGCCGTTGGGTACCAGGTGGCCATGCCGGTTGATTCCGGGATGGTGGGTAGGGATTACTTGAAAGCGGACTCCAATGACGACAAGGGTGGCCCGAGCGGCAGCCACCTGCCACTCCCCAACCACAGCACGCATCCCCAGCATGCGCACCAGCTCCCCGCTAATCTTGGCTCCCAGTCTCATCTTCAGCATCACATGGCGGCAAGCCAGGCTCACACCCACACGCACCCCCACGCCCACCCACACGCTCAGCACCAGCATCATCCTCACCTCTCACACCCCTTGCCTCCCCCATCCCCTGCCCTCATGGATGAGGATCCAGAGCAGCAGAGGCAGGTCATGGAAGCCTTTAAAATTATGAACTCATTCGCTCAGAAGAGATCTCTCGGGGACCATGTGCAGGCAGCTTTGAGAACTATTGAAATGACAATGAAAAACCAAAACCGCAAAGCCCCCTCTAGAAATACATATACCTCAATATGAAACGGGATAAATGGCTAAGTTATGGCTGTGAGAAGGATATCAACTTAGAGTTGGTTTATGTGTATGTTACAGATAAATAGATAAAGAAGAATCTGCACAAAACATGTGTTATCTAATGCAAATATTATGTATCCAATTTATTCATGTCATTATGTTTTGTTTGATTATGTACCGTATTCTTAAATTGTTTAGATATGCTGAAATTCAACTAAGTTATACACTATGCTGTTAGTACACTATATTCAGTATACAGTACCTTCTGTTCAGTTTATACAGTTCACTTTGCTCAGGTTATGCCTAAGTTGATGGTCAGTTCTTTTGTTTAGCTATAATCTTATGAAGGCTGAGGGTATTTTTAATTAACCCCTTTTTTCCCACTTTGTGAAACAATTTGTAATCCAGCATGAATGATGGCCATTTGTAACTTAAATCCTTGGACATGATTTAATCTATCATTAAAAACAGCTGTTTTGAAATGTTCATATTTTGGGGACAGTAAAAGTTAAATGTAAATAATTACTGGTCCACACTGTCAAGGAAGAATGTTTAAAGACAAAATTTTAACAGAAATTGTATGGCCTTTGTTAAATAAAAAAAAAATATACTCATAATTACTGTCCCCTCTAATTTTCTTAACACATATTCACAATAACATGAATTCATATGTGTTATTGATCGGAAAAATTGGAAAGACTTAGATAATATAACATGAGACTGAAGTTCCTGGCAAGATATTGTTAATGCCATCTGCTCCACTGAGAGCTGAAAAGGCAAAGAAGAAGAAGAATGCCCAAAAAACTTTGGAATATTTTAGGGTGTTTGTATTATCATGCAAAAGGAAATTCATCAAAATCTACAATTTAGCTTGAATCTTAAGTACCGAAAATGGGTAAGAATTGTACTGAAGCATTGCTGTGGATTTCTTTATGCAAGGGCTTCAGTGATTAAGTTTTTGCACTGTAAAGTTTTTCAAGCAGACACTTCCATGTTTGAAACAATTTACAAAGTTGGATAGTCATGGATTGTCATACTTGGATGGTCATGGATTGCCATAGTTTGATAGTCATAGTTGGATAGCCATGGATTGTCATAGTTGGATAGTCATATTTGAATAGTTATTGCTGGATAGTCAATAAGTGGGTTGTCATTGTTGGATAAACATAATTGGAACTTTATCGTCATTGGCTAGTCATAGTATAGTTGGATAATTATGGTTGGGAAGTCTTAGTTGGACAGTTGAGAAGAGCTCATTCAAGTAAAAAGTATTTCCATGTTTTAGAAAAATTAAGCTAAAGTATTTTAAATATAATGTACTTGCTCTAAAATTTGTTTTGTGCATTGTCTTTAAAGACTATAAGTGTGTTTTTTTATAAAGACTTTGATAGTGCATCTACATGCCAAAAACAATTAACACTTCCTACCTTATGAATTTTGTATACTTCTAAAGTTAATGTAATTATTTTTTTTAGCTGAGACCAAAGATCAGTCAATAATAATCCTTCATAACTTTTCTGGGAGTTGTTTTCTTAAGTAAACTGAAATACTTGAAAAACATGAAGTAATTTATATTGTAATAATTAGGATATTGTTAAAATTTCTACATAAATGGCTAGGGCTATGATGTGGTGGATTGGAGACCTTTGACCTTTCACTTTGTTGGCATGTGATAGTTATAATTTTTAAGAAGGTTGCTCTAAGTTTTAATTATGAATACATTATTTTTAACAATTAAGCGTTAACTTTTTTAAAATAAGTTTGTAGTAATACACTCAGCATGTTTTAATATTAAAATTCATCAACTAAATGATTCCCAGCAATAAAAACTTGTTTTAAGGGAGGTTCATTTCTAGCCCTTGCCAACTGGTGGTGAAAACAGAGTTGTTTCCCTTTAATGCATATTGTAGTTGTTGCTTTAAGTTTAAAGACAGGAACCTAGTTTCAAGATCTGACTAGAGACCGACCGAAAGTGATTTTCTGATTTCGGCCGAAGCCGAAAATAGGCCGAAATTTTAAAATGACTTTCGGCCGAAACCGAAAAAAGGCCGAAAGTTTAAAAATGACTTTCGGCCGAAACCGAAGAAAAGCCGAAAGTTAAAAATGAATTTCGGCCGAAACCGAAGCCGAAACCGAAAATGAAATATTAAGATATTTTGAATTCGTTCCCGCATACATTCTGCATACATCGAAAATGATGTGGGAAAGTATACATATTTACATTCCTTTTATAAAAAATGAGATAATCGTGAATATTAATAAATAAACATCTAATATAGTGGTCTCAAACTCGCGGCCCGCGAGCCATTTGTGACCCGCAAGACGATGTTTTACCGCCCGCTACATGACAGAAAAGTTTAGTGAAAATGCGCCAGCCCGTTTCCCACACTCTTATATCTATAACGTGACTCTCCGCGACGGTTTCAGTTGAATCTCACGGACTAGTCTAATTCTGATTTTTAAAAAAAAAATGTTTCTATATATTTTTGTATGCAACTGTGAGTAAGTGGATGAAAATGAATCCTAGTTCTTGAGAACCCTTAATGATTTTATTGTTATTTATAAAAGTTGAGCAGATTGTAACAGTTGTAATCGCTTTTTTGTGGATTACTTGATGCGGGCCACTCTCATTCAGACACTACCTCCTGCTGCCCCCCCCCCCCCCCCCCCCCCCTGATGATTTGAGTTTGAGACCCTTGATCTAATGAATACTTTAGATTTTACCATTTTAATATAAAAGTAATTTAAATTGCTTTACAATTTTTTTTTAATTAGTATGGTAGGAGAAAATTTGGCAAAAATGGGGTGGGAGGGGAGCAAAAATAATGCAAAATATTATTTTTTAAACTGGTTCTCTAAAAATTATTTTTCTTATAATGGTTCTAAAAGATCGCTTAATTTGTTCTGAAAGGTCCCATTATTTGTTTTTAAAGATGGTTTAGTTTGTTGTTAAAGATCGTTAGTTACTTGTTATTGATCGGTTAGTTTGTTCTTAAAGATCGCTTAGTTTGTTCGAAAATATCGCTTAGTTTGTTGCTAAAGATCATTTAGTTTGTTCTCAAAGATCGCTTAGTTTTTTGTTAAAGATCGTCCAGTTTTTGTTAATGATCGCTTTATTTGTTCTTAAAGATCGGTTAGTTTGTTTATAAAGATCCCCTGGTTTGTTTTAAAGATCCTTTAGTTTGTTCTTAAAGATCGCTTAGTTTGTTGTTAAAAATCGTTTAGTTTATTCATAAAGATTGCTTAGTTTGTTGTTAAAGATCACTTAGTTTTTTCATAAAGATCCCTTAGTTTGTTCTTAAAGATAATTGATTTTTTCCTTAAGATCGATTAGTTTGTTCTTAAAAATCTTTTAGTTTGTTCCTAAAGAGCATTTAGTTTTCTGTTAAAGATCGCTTAGTTTATTCTTATAAATCATTTAGTTTATTATTAAAGAACATTTGTTTGTTCTTAAAGATAATTTAGTTCGGTCTGAAAAATCGTTTAGTTTGTTCTTTAAGATCGCTTATTTTGTTATTAAAGATCGCTTAGATTGTTCTTAAAGATCGCTTAGTTTGTTTTAAAAATCGTTTAGTTTGTTCTTAAATGTCTCTTGGTTTGTTGTTAAATATCGTTTAGTTTGTTCTCAAAGATCGCTTAATTTGTTCTTAAATGTCGCTTAGTTTGTTGTTAAATATCGTTTTCGCTGAGTAATAGATGACCGAAAACCTGAGTCACTTTCGGCCGGATGGCCGAAAGTCTAAGTCAATTTCGGCCGAAACCGAAGAAAAACCGAAAGTTAACTTTTCTCTTTCGGCCGAAACCGAAATTAAGCCGAAAGTTAACTTTTCAGTTTCGGCCGAAGCCGAAACTTGGCCGAAGGTGATAAAATGGTCACTTTCGGCGCCGAAACCGAAGCCGAAGCCGAAATTCGGTCGGTCTCTAGATCTGACCAATGTTTGATTTTATGTAATACAGAGAGAGGATGGGAACTGTTGAAACATCGCATATATTTAAACAATGTAATATTGAAAAGGTACAAACTGAGCATGACTCATGCCATAAATACTAAATGCACAACTTGGTAAATTCTTTTTCATTTTCTTCCATGTATTTTTTTTCTAAGCAAGAGAGACTACTCTTATAATTTATAGTTGAAATGTTTTTTGTTTTTTATTTAGTTTCGCTCCCTTCTTATTTGTCCTATTCTGTAAGAATACTTAATCATTTTTACACTATTTACTTGTAGTGTATTGTTATTTATACCATAAACAGATTTTAGTCATGATGTTGGAATTCTTGCAATGCTTACTGATACACACTCTCAGTTTCAAGGCAATAACATTCAATAATACAATGGTGTATGAATATTTATGCATAATAATACTAATGTTATTATTGTTAGA